GGGGGGGTAGACAACCCCCAACACAAAAGTGACCCTAATGAAACATCTCAAGCATGAAAATACAGAACTTTTTTATGTGAGACACTAAGCTTAAAACAGCATGCAAGTATTGCTAAAAGCTTAAGCAAAATGGGGAATAAAAGAGTAGTTTCTCACCCTTGAAGAACACCTCAAGAACACCAACTCTAGCACCTCCTTTTGATCAAAACCAAACCAAAAACTCTGAAAACAATTCCTTAGCACCTCAGTAACTAAAGGATAGTGTAACACTAGGTGCCTTAGTGCAAAAATATGAACAAAAACACCCTTTAGAACACTATTACACACACAAATATAGAGAGAGAGGAGATATAGAGAAAGAGTGATATATATCTCATATATCAGATTGCTGAACCTCTGGAAAGGGAGGGAAGGCCCTCCTCTTATAGGAAATTCAATTCCAAGCTTCCAAGGGAAGCTAAGTATTGGTTCAAATCCCTCCATACACGTGCATGGAGGGCAGAGTCTGTGCTCACCAGCTGGCACAGCCGGCATGCATAATGCCTGAAAAAGGCAAAGAAAAGGCCTCAGCCAGAAAATGTGGCCGATCAACCAAAACAATGGCCGGCCGACCAAATACAGTGCCGATCGACCAATACATTTGGCCGGTGGCAAGAAAACAAGGTCGGTGGTCTCAGGCCATGGCCGGTGGGTTGAAGAGCAGCCAACAAGCCACTTCCTACCCTCAGGTGCAAAAATCACAAGTCCTTGGTCCACAACCAAGCACAAAACAGTCAAGTTGAGAGATACTAAGGCAAGGCGCGTAACCGAGACCTTCGGGAACTCAAAACGAACACGAGCATGGATGATCATCGAGTGTTCAAACGATGACGTCCAAGTCTTAAGGACGGTCAAAAATGGGGTATCTACAATGTTAAGTCCGAATCTAATTCCATCGAGTCTATGGAGTCAAAGTCAGACTGAAGTTAGTCTAGTCAGCCAAAATCTATTGATTTCGGGAGTGCTAACCTAGACATCTCTGTCCTATCTAGGTCTTCTTTGTCATTTTCTTTTGAGTCTGTTATCATCACTGAGTTAGAGTTTTTTTTGAATAAAAGTGTCGTAGATTCCGCCTACTTCTCAGTGTCTTTAGTTTATTGCATTGACCAAAATTTCAAAAAAAAAAAAAAAAATCAAAACTTCAATGAAAAGGAAGAGGAAATTCCTCGAGCTTTGCAAAATTTTATCAATTGAGAGGAAGAGAGGCGTGCTAAGCCCTTGATGGATGAGACCATTTCTGTTAATGTTGGTACTGAGAAGGATCCCCGTTTGGTCTAGATTGGTTCTACATGGTCTTTAGAAAAATACAAGTCATTAGTCGCTTTGTTAAAAGATTTCAAAAAATGTTTTTGCGTTGTCCTACGAAGACATGTCTAGAATTGATCTTAAGGTTGTACAACATAGAATCCCTCTCAACCTGAGGCCTGATCCCCCTAGCTTTCAAACTTTGACTTTGGTGTCCAATAATCAACCAGAGTATAAGGCTTGTATAGCCAAATTGGAAACAACCCTAAAACTAGGGGCAATAAGGTTGGATGTGATCAAATATTCAAACCGTATCTTTTCTCAAGCCAATGGAGGTCAAAAAGAGCGTCAAATCCCAGATTCTGAGAAAAGAAAATTTAGTGTTGAAGGACAATCGATCTGCTATCCACGATCCTAGGGGCAAATTCACACCCAATTGGACGAGTTCCTACATCATCAAGTCTATTTGGTCAGGAAGAGTAGTCGTTCTCATGGATTTGGATGGTTTCGAATTCTCACAATCAACATGGACAAACTGAAATTTATCATCATCAAGTCTATCTGGTCAGGAAGAGTAGTGGGGTTGTCACATGAGGTGTTGTTACCTCACCGACCATGGATATGAATTTATACTTTTCGTGATGTGCCTGTAGACGATAGCCAAATGTGAGATCTCTTTTTAGCGCTTTTATAGTAGTCAAATAAAGAAATCAAGTTAGGCACTTGAAAAGCGATGTGTTCTAGTTAGTAACTGAACCAAGATCTGTATAGTGTTTGGAGAACCACATCACTCTTTGAAAGAGTAACTCCATGGTAGCATGTATTCATACTACATGTTCCTGGTGACCAATTAGTGAGGTAAGTGAAAGGATTCTTGTTTTCCACATCGTGTGAGTTCAAATAGGTCAAAATATGCTCAGGGCCAACTTTAGATAATTTGTGGCCTAAAGTAATAATTAAAAATGAGGCCTTTTATATAATAATTTTTTTCATAAATTTTTTATTGAAAATTTATTTTTCTAGCTTTTTTAGATGCAAAAATATTAATTAAATCTTTATATTTAAGTTTTGCTAACAAATCTTTTTCAATTGATAATATAGCTAATCCACTTAATCTTTCTTGTAACATAGTTGATCTAACGTAAGATTTTATTAATTTTAATTTTGAAAAACTTCTTTATGCAGAAGCAACTATTACCAGGTATTGTTAATAATATTCTATAAGAAATGCATGCAAATTTGAGAGAGAGAGAGAGAGAGAGAGACACGAGTAAAGGAAAGGTTGGAAAATGCTATGCATTATTACTTTATTTATAGTTATCCAAGTAAAGGAATATCTCTACAATCAACGAAGTAATCATTCACTTCCATTATAACTCATCTATAAGTAAGTTGCAAATTTTATTTTTTATTATTCTTTTTTTTTTTTTGTAAGATAAAGTTTAGACCCTTTTGTTTTGTTTTATTTTGGTCCTTTTTATTTAAAAAATAAATAATAAATTACAGGGGCTTATTACATTATATATAAAAAATTGGGTGTTCCCAAATTTGGAGTCTTAAAGCCTATGCTTGGCTGGCCTTATGGTCCAGCCAGCCCTGAATATGCTTTAAATTTTGACATTTGTATTATACCCTTAGTAACTTTCAAACTATGTCATGAAGTAAGAAGTCAATGCTAGCTACTTTGGTATGTTGCTTGCAACCATGGATGATTTGACTTTGAAGAGCATGTCCAAAAAAGCGATTGACTTCGAATTAAGTAGCATGGGGATGAAAGGAAGATTGTCTAGAATTGCACTTATGCTTTATATTCACTATCGACAACTTATATCGCTCTATATGGGATGCGGATTGGATATAAATACATTGCATGATTAAAGGAGTAAAACTTGCTCTTTGAGGGATCAAAGATGCTTGGCTCAATGTAACTAGATGGATCTAGGGCATATGAGATACTATTTTTGGATTGATGCTTCTGTGCTGGCTCATAATGAGTTTTTAGTCCTCAATAGTCGAATGGTCCATTGACTAAGTATGATTGTATTTAATGGGTTAAGATACAAAAGCCATGGTATCATGTCAGCATATGTTCGAGTAGGAAATGTTGGAAATTAGGTCAGGTTTAGAACTCGAAGTGGATTCGAACCACTGACACAAGGATTTTCAAACCCAATTGGGTTTCCCATGGTGGCATGACCCGGTTAGGAGAGATTCAAACAATAACAGATTGTATCTGTTATTCAAAGTATGGGATAATCATTGATATAAGATAAATATCAATATATATGATAAAATTGATATAAGATAAATATTAATATGAGATAAATATTATATGGGATAATATACCTATCATATGGGTCTCTTAACTCTTATATATAAATAGAACTTGCATTAACCTGTTCCCAAACGAGGCCTAATGTCCTAGGTACGTAAGTTTTTTATGTTCATTGTTTGACGTTGTTGCTTGTACTCTAATAATTCTAAGTTTTATTTGATGTTGTGTTTGTACTCATGGTTATGTTTTTGGAGTTGTAATCTTTATTTAAGATGGTAAAACTTTATTTAGTAAGAATTTAAATTTTTCTTTAAGAATTTATCGTATAGGTTCCAAAAATTTGAGACATCACACACATTATTAATTTAAAACTCTCGAAATATTTAACTAACTTGCGATGCAATATTATTATTGAGAGTAAATTATAAAGGTGGATAGTCATCCATTCGACCCGTCAAAATTGAATGGCCCAACTCAATCCGTCACGTAATAGGCGATTTCAATAGCCTAAGCAGACGGAAATGCAGACACCCATTATTTAGTGGAGAAGTGGTGATAAAGTTTTACTCAAGAAAATGAGTAGCAATGTATTGACATTTGTCTTTTTATTTATTATAAAACATGACAGTTTGTTTTCTTATTTTTTATTAGCATTCTAAACATGATGCTATATATTTTTGCTTTGTGTGTTGAAAATAATTACCTTTTATTGATTAGTCTTTATAGCTATTTATGAAATATGAAAGTTGAGTTTTTATTTTTATTATAAAAAAAATGAATAACAACAAATTTTTGGCCCAAATAAGGCTCAAATAGTCAAGAATTACTAAGAAATAGTTTGATGAGATCCAAAATAATTAAAAAAAAAAACCACCAAATTGATTCCCATCCATCTACTAAACCTGCGGGGTTCGCTCAGCCAGTATTCAATGAATGTGGATTGATTTTTTCAAATCCACTTAAGTTTGGAAGAATGGCAGATGGGAGGTCATCCAACCCTACGTGATCCGTGAGTACCATCAATATATTACACTTACCTCCCTGAAATTTAGAGAAAATACAGCTAGTTCCACAATTTTGAGATAATTACATTGACCTCTGTTTTAGTATGACAAAAGTGATTGAAACTAATGCAAATGATAGGTAGATATTGAAATAAATAAAAAAATAAATATAAATTTTAATTTAAAATTTATGATAATATTATTTTTTATGCATATTAATAAAAATAATTTAATTGTTATTATATGAATAAAAACCTGCAAGAGAGACCAGTGATTATGTAGAATGATGAAATGAATTTGATTTTTCCTGAATGGAGGTGTAGGGCGGTAGTTTAGTAGATAGGCCCATCCAAGGAGAGCTGGAAGAGTACCTCGTTTGGGCCCAAAATGACATCGAAACTCATCTCCACCGTCCAACTAAAGTTGACTTACACCGTCCGATCATTTCGGACGTTTACATATAATCCCGTGCCCAATCGAAAAAACCCTAAGCAAATTAGGGTTTGCAGAGCAGGGGCCAAAGCGACACTGAGATCCAACTTCTGCATCTTCAACAATCCCTGAAAAATGGCGACTCAGATGAGCAAAAAGCGAAAGGTTAATTCTTGATTCATAAATCAGACACGATCACTATATGTATATATGAAGTTTATAGCTGAGTTGTTTGTAATCTGATAACAGTTTGTAGCTGATGGAGTGTTCTTTGCGGAGCTGAATGAGGTTTTGACAAGGGAGCTAGCAGAGGATGGATACTCTGGTGTCGAGGTCAGAGTTACTCCCATGAGAACCGAGATCATCATTAGGGCCACTCGAACTCAGAACGTTCTCGGTGATTCTCTCCCTTTTTTAGGGTTTTTTTTTTTTTGGATTGGTTTAGGTTTGGATGATTGTTTATGTGTTTGTATTAGTCTTTTTGAATTTTTGGATTGGTTTTAGGTGAGAAGGGTAGGAGGATCAGAGAGTTAACATCGGTTGTACAGAAACGGTTCAAGTTTCCGGAAGGCAATGTGGAGTTGTATGCTGAGAAAGTCAACAATAGGGGACTTTGTGCTGTTGCTCAGGCCGAGTCTCTCCGCTACAAGCTCCTTGGTGGCCTCGCTGTTCGGAGGTATGTCAGAATCATTTCTATTCGATCAGTTTCTGTATGTTGTTTGTTGTGTTGTGTTATTGTCATTTTTAATTGCTTTGTGATTTGGTTGATATATACCCTATAATTTTACATCTTTAAAAGACGTTTTGTTACCATATGATAGTGATTTTGATATTGATTTATCTTTAAAAGACGTTTTGTTACCATATGATAGTGATTTTGATATTGATTTCATCTAATATGCCCTCCTGTATATGGAAAACGATTACTCAAACTGTTATTTGATGCCTGGTCTCTATAGAGAATAATTAATTACTACTTGATGCCCTTGTTTGTTTGGGGTAATTGGATTAGATGGGATTAACATTTCTAGATTGAAACCAATCCCTCAGACTCTGTTTGGTTCAAGGATTTGGAGAGAATTTGGAAATGGAAAGGGAAAAGGACGGTGAAATGTGTCTAAATATACATACATTTTACTTAATTTCACACACTTTTTTCATTTCTCTTTCTAAATCTCTCCCCAAATCCTTGAACCAAACATAGCCTTAGGATCAGATCAGTCCATGATTGCGTGGGGAGATTTACAAACATAGCCAGGTGTGGAATAATGTGTTTTGTTTGATTATTAATCCAATCGCAAGGCCGCATCTCCCCAAGCATACATGGCCAATGGTTTCACAAGAGTTATTTGCCATTGCTTGAGAAGTTGTATTATAAGAGTGATGTGGAATATGTATGTATCATTCGCAAAGCATATGTGTTTACGTCATCTACAAAGCAAATTGGTGTTCCAGTATCAACTTTGTGTCGGAAGATGACTACACTAATTAAGTTCCTCTATGACATCATCCTTGTGAAATGTACTAGTTTTCATGCAGAAATCTTAGAGAGCTTACATAATTAATGAAAAATGATGGTTCTTTGTTTACATTAATCTGGTGTTTGTTTGGATCTTTATTCCAGCCTGCTATGCACTTTCAACCTTTTGCAGTTTTTCAACTCTTTTCCCCATAGTTGATTACTGCCATCTTATCTGTATCTACTGTCATCTATAAAACAAAACGGTTATTTTTGTACCATGTTTGTGTCGGAAGATGACTACATCGACCATGCTTCTCTATGCCATTTTACTGCTGAATGTAAGCAACTTACATTTGTATGCTTGGAGTAGCAACATATTTGGAGTCATCATTCATATGCTTGTGTTTTTTATTTTTACTCCTAGTTGATTACTTTGTCATCTATCAACAACTACTTTGTCATCTATAAAACAAAACGGTTATTTTATTACCATGTTTGTGTCGGAAGATGACTACATCAATCATGCTTCTCTATGCTGTTTTACTACCGAATGTAACCTACTTACATTTTTATGCTTGGAGTTGCAACATATTTGGAATTATTGTTCCATAGGCTTATAAGTAAATTAGGTCATTATTCTTTTTGAAGTTTTTGATTTCATTTGTGATTCTTTTCTACTTATAATAATTTATTGAGTTTTATCCTTCTAAAAATATTTACAATTGAATTAACAATCAACATGATGGTGCACTTGGCTTTTTTAGTTATTCGTACATGTTGCATCAAGGAGTAAAATTTTATGTTCTTGATGATGTATTTTTAGTTAGGTTGTACTCATTCCAAGAAGATATGAAGTGATCTTTCTGTAGAGTTGATTGTTACATGTTTGGCAGTTGTATCTTTGATCGCTCCATTATATGTTGTGGATAAAAACAAACTAGCAGTTAATTGGATTTGGATCTTCTTTCATCATGTAATATTAAAACCCAAAAGATGTAAAAAAATTTGCATTCCTTTAATGTTATATGTTATGTCTGGAGTTGCATTTTACATCATCAGATGGAATGTGCATTGGGGCTTTTTAGTTGTATTATGTTAATTTTTCTTATGTTATTTTTCAAATATTTTAGACCTCTTTGTATTTAGCTCTTTATCGGTTCACATGTCTTCCATTTAATCCTGATATTGTACTGGTTTTTTGGCCACTTTTATGAGTTATGCTTCTTTATATTGGAACCTATTAATTCTGAATTTTTGTTGCATAAAAAATGTTTGTGGTGTATTCTAATTATGGTTGTTTTCTATTATAGGGCCTGCTATGGTGTTTTGAGATTCATTATGGAGAGTGGGGCAAAAGGATGCGAGGTGTGTTTTGCCTTCTTGTGTACTGGTATTGATGCTATACTGTACTTCTAAGTGCGAATCTAATTGGTTAACTAACAGGTGATTGTTAGTGGAAAACTGAGGGCTCAGCGTGCCAAGTCCATGAAGTTTAAGGATGGGTACATGATCTCTTCTGGTCAGCCAGTCAATGAATATATTGATTCAGCCATCAGACATGTTCTTTTGAGACAGGTTTGTATATCTTTGTGTGTAAATGAAAACTCATAATGACAGTATTTGATTAATTATTCAGTGGACAACTTTTGTGGTGACTGACTTTCTAGAAGTTTGATTATCTTATGCTATGTTTGGATATTGAATTTGTCAAGGAAAAAGAAAACGAAAGAGAAATGACATAACTTGTACATTTTTATATAAGGTAACCAAACATGGAAATGATTTGTTTCTTGACGAATAACTATCTATTTATCCTTTTCTCAACCCAATGGAAAAAATAAATAAATAATGATTTTAGCCTTGTCTACATAAATTTTCTTTTCTCCTTCCTCAACAAATTTCATTCCTCTGATGATGCTGTGTGATGCAGGGGGTACTTGGTATCAAGGTGAAGATCATGCTTGATTGGGATCCAAAGGGGAAGCAGGGTCCAACAACACCCCTTCCAGATGTTGTCACTATCCATACTCCTAAAGAGGAAGAGGAATACACCAGGCCACCATTGATGGCCACTGAGATTGAGCCTCCCATCGTTGTTTAGAGCTTTGGTGGCAGCTTCTTCCCAACCATTTAGTTTCCTTAAAGAATGTTTCAGTTGTTTTTTAGTTTTGAACTATTCAAGTACTGTTACTTTTTCTAGTTGACTGTCGGGTACAATAGAAAAACCTTTCCCTGAGCATGAGCCAAGCTAAAATTTTACTCCCGACTTTTGTAATGAGATTGAGTAGTTCATATGAAGTGTTTTTGTTTGATTCCATATGCTGGTTTAATTTTTGTTTGCACTTTGTTCAATGTGTTATTTGAATAAGGTATATCAAAAGCCTTGGATCCCACTCAAATAGGATTTTGATTACATACATTTTTTTTCGTTATTTGTTTTGTCAAGAGTTACATGTTTAATTAAATTAATATATATTACTGTAGCATCCATATCAATTTTTTTTTTTTTTTTCACAACATTACAATTTATAGCGCCATCCTATTATTCATTATCGTCGCATCTATAATTTTTTGTTTTATAAGACTAAATTATCTTCTTGATTGGGCCTATGGAGAATCTATATCAGGGACTATTGTTTCCCCAAGCACCTCATAAATCAAGATTATCCAGTGGCGAGTAGCTTGAGATGAAAAATGTTATGTACAGGGATAGGCCTTTTTACTAATTTTTTAATTTTTTGGTTAAAATATGATGCAAAAAAAATTTGTATGTTTGAGATGAATTTTTTGTTTTTTACGAAAAGATGTACAAAAAGTAAAGAGAAGAAAATTTTTAATTTTTTGGTATAGGTCTTTGATTTTTTTTAATAATTTTTTGACTTTTAAACTAAAAAGTATTGTTGCGAAACGTGACCTAAGTTTGTGTCGTGAATTCTTTTTCAAAAATGAAAATGAGGTGAATGTTGTAATTTAAAGTCGATCGGATGCAAGTCATATACTTTAAATGATTGTGGTTAATTGATGCAATTTTTTTGGATATGTAAGACTATTGTTGAAGAGACTGGTTTGATTTGGGGCGGGAGGAAACACGGCTTGTTGATCCATCACTATAGATATTTTATGCCATGCCAGGAGGACAAATGAAAGAGATTCGAATAACTGTCTTGAATCAAAAGGGCAAGCCAAGGAGGCATAGGAAATTCAAGATCAGGCAAGGCGGAGACTGGCTACAGTTGCGATAACTACTATTATATCTTTCATGAAGGCAAATACATTTTGCAACACTGGTCAGGAAATTCAAGATGGTAATGCGATAGGTGTAAGGTTCTAAAAAACAGTTGAGGTCGCCGTAACGGTAGCGGTGACGCGATTGCGATTGAGGGGTGTAAAGGCCGTAGCGTAACGGTTACGGTCACCGGAACCATGAATTTTTTTATTTTTCGCACAATTTGAAAAAAACTTATCGATACGCATATTTTTTTTCCATAATTATATTTATTAGGTTTAAAATAAATATTGATTAATTTTTGTAAATTTTTAAGTATGATCCAATATATTTCATATTTTTAAATAACTATAAACTGAGTTTTTTACATTTTATTTTTAATAATTAATGACTTTATATTACACAAAAAATCAATCACTAGCTATTATATATAAGATAAACAATGACAAAAGTAAGAGAATAAATAAAAGCCTAAATATATATATATATATATATATATATTTTAACCAAACCAAATAGATAATGATCACACTTATTATTATTATTATTATTATTATTATTATTATTTTCAAACAATATATAGATACACACAAACAAAATGGTTGAGTGATAGCAGCTGAATAGAATAATATAGATCTTACAGTTTCAACAAATCAATAACATGTTCTTCATCTTCCCTCTTCTCTCTCTATCTCTTGCTCCTCCATCTTCTCTCTTTATCTTCTCTCTTCTCTCTATCTCTCTTTCCCCATTTTCAACTTTTTTTTTTTTATGTGTTAGAAAGAAGCAATTCGGAACCGTTACGTAACGGTACGTAACAGGCTATTATGGCTATTACGGCACCGTTACGACCACTACGGCTGACTCACCTACAAATCTCAATCACACTGCAAAAACGGCCGTAACAGGTGGCGGTAACCACCACAACCGTTACGTAACGGCGTTATGTAACGGTTGCGGTTGCTTTTTAAAACCTTGGATCGGTGTGATCTAAAGAATTTGAGGAACGTGATTACTTATATACATTCTTCAAGCTCAAGTTCTCAGGTGTTCTTCATACAGGGTTGACATAGGTGATACAGCTTTCCGGGAATCAGGGCTGAAGAGATCTTGAGTTGCCTTGGCCATAAAAGTTGTATTTCTTGAAATATGAAAGAGCAGATTGAGGATGATTTTGCAGAAATCACATGGCATAGCAGTGTCTTCACCTGATTGCTCATATGATAACTATTTTTTCTTACCACAATATGTATCTGTTAATACTGTATTAATTTAATAGATTTCACCACTCATGTTTTGCTATCAATGCAGTTTTGAATATAAAAAAACAAAACATGATAAGGAAATATGGTGATTGTAACATTATTATTGATCACCAGCACTAATCATGTACCAAAGTGAATGTTTTGTGACATGGTAAGCCATGTTATATATTATGGACTATGTAAAAATCAATGTATAGAGAAAGAGAGAGAGAATCAATTATGTATATATTGATGTATTATTGATTGATATTGATATATTACAATGATTCCTATATATAGAAGAGTAGGTGGTAGTAGGTGGTAGGTGGAGTAGGTGAAGTGGAGGTGGTAGTGGTGTAGTGGGTTAGGTTTAGTGGAGTAAGTGAAGTGGAGGTGATAGTGGTGTAGTAGGTTAGGTTTAGTGGAGTATGTGAGGTGGTAGTGGTGTAGTAGGTGGATACGGATTTTGATTGCAGGTGTTTCTGAGTGTCAAGCATATTTAAATTTAAATACTAAATATAACAACACTAGATATGTATCTAAAAGATAGATGGATATATTATAAACATGTCCTATAACTATGTTACGTTACGTGTGAGATGTAAGAACTTGCCTATGTCAGAAAAATCTTCTTCAGTACTAAATGTAAGTTTATTTCTTTTAAAAAAATCCTAAAAATCATATCTATTTGTTTATTTGGATACGAGAATCGAACACGAATCTTATAACCATATCAGACTGAGCAATAATCATATCCAATGACCATGGATACAATGTGAAAAAAATAGAAAAGTTTATCTAACATTGGCTGGTGGTAGCTTTAGTTTAGCGATGAAGATTGATTCGATTATGCTCAGGTGAAACTAACATTGAATTTGTAGTCAATGTTTTCATGAATGAAAGTCAGCTGCTTAATATTTGTGCACATCAAGAACAAGAACAGGTTAATATTTGGATAAATTATGCTTTACCCCTTCAACCTTAAAAGTTAAATTTGTACAATGAATCCCCTTGAGATCAATATCAAACTGTAAAAATGACATTTTTGATCAAATTAATAGCGTGTGGGCTTGATGGGTGGGTAAATTCCACTTTACCACACGCAACCTCTTGAAATTTGATTGTGTAACCAATGAAACCCTTGGATCAATACCAAACTACAAAAATGAATGCCTGTAATGGAAAAATTAAAAAGATAATAATTATCTTCATACATTTCTTTTCTGCTTGTAGTGAAGATTCTTACAATGAGGAATTTGCACCAGAAACAATCTTGCCTCCTCTTGACCCCTATTTAGCTGTTGCAAACTTCCTTTTTTCCCATATTTGTCTTCCCTTATCCCTACTCCCCATTCACTGCAAGCTAAGAAGCACGGACACTTCTAAGAAGGTGACGTATCCGTGTCGTGTCCGTGTCGGACACCGGCACTCTTTGGACACTCTTAGGACATGTGTCCGATACTCTTCAAAACATGTCCTATTTTTTAAATATTTTTAAAGACCCGGACACTCTTTGGACACTTGGAGGACACACGTGTCAATTGTTTAAACACATGTGTCTATTGATTATACATATGTGAAACTAATTATAAGTTTGAACAAAACGACTTAAGATACAATAATAAAACAAAAACAATATAAATTTATAAGAAATAGTGTTATATTGCATTTTTTATTATCTTTGAATGATATATTCATATATATAATATATAATAAATATATAAAATTATATATTTCATGCGTGTCCTCCACGTGTCGTGTCCTGCATTTTTTTAAAATTAACGTGTCGACGTGTCCGTGTCGTATTCGTGTCGTGTCACATGTCCGTGTCCGTGCTTCTTAGACTGCAAGCCTCCCATCTCTCTTAGGCTATCCTTCATCCTCTCCATTCCCATTCCGTCGTTGCAACCCATCTTCTCTTTTCTACTCCTGTTACAGATCATCTTTCCTCCCACCTATCTGTTGGTGGTGATGGTGGTTTTGAGTGCAGGTGACAGGTAGTGATAGAGTGTGGTGGTGGTGTTTTTGGGGTGGCGGTGATGGGTGGTATTAATGGGTGGAATTTGGCAGTGCTAATGGATGGTGGGAAGAGAGAAAAGAAAGATGGGACGAGATCATTGTAACACTTGCATTATGTACATCCAATTTTGCACATTGGTTGACCCCAAGTGTGTTTATTGTCACAAATCAAATTTTGAAGGACACTGTGTTTTTTAGTCTCAAGGGAGGTTTTTACAATTTCATTAAAAGCACCAGATGAAACAAAAGAAGCAAGAGAAAAAAAAAATATTAAGACGAAAGAACATAGCTTCAAAGAACTTGATGAGGGAGATTATAAGCTGCTCTAGTTAACATCCCTTCATCTTCTTCTTCTTCTTCTTCTTCTTCTTCTTCTTCTTCTTTATTATTATTTTTTATTTATTTATAGAGGAAACAAGAATTTACCCTGCTGAGATCATGTCCAAGATTGTGAACTATATAGCAGGATCATAGTACGAAGTTAACTTGCCATCTGCAAGCTGCAAGGCAACCATGTTTTGTATTTTTTTATCAGCAAAAAGATGGACTACTGATGACTGGCAAAAGATCAATACAAAACCAAAAAGCATAATGCATAAATTGTATCATAGCAAAACCCTCCCGTCGCAACTAGTTTGGTGCGAGAAGGCATGGGCCAATCATATGCAAACACAAGCAAAAAGAAAAGAGGCTGGAGAGGTTCCAACCAAATTACCAAATAAAATAAAATACTAAACTAAACTAAAGACACCACAAACAACACAGACAAAACAAACCCCACATTTACAGCATCCTTCCAATCCCAACCAACTCAAAACCAGTAGCACCTTGAGTCAATCAAAATC